AAAATGACAACATATATTTTCTGTACCTTTTGAAATATATTTTAATTTAATACATATAAATATTCAGGATTTCACACATTTTTTGCTGAAGAGCCAAGACTGTTTCTCTTTGACTGTATGTCCACTATATTGTTTAGAATTCTAAGTTGACTTTCTTACATGCCCCATACCCAAACTTTATTGTATACATCTGCCAGTGTCAGTTTTGTGGGGTTTTTTTGTCTGTTTGTTTTTTATTTTATTAAAGATTTTTATTGGGGAGTTGGGGGATGGGAACAGCGCTGGGGAATTGGGGGAAGGGGAACAGACAAGTTGCTGTCCTTTTGTTCTTCAGTCTAGTTGTGGAGGACGTTGGTTCACTGGCTCAAGTTGGCACCATTATTACGCTCTTCCGGGGTGAGGCAGACCAGTCGCTGGCTTCTGGACGGCCGCTCACTGCGGCTGCTGGCCGCTCACGCTGGCTGCTGGCTACACAAGGTAGCCCATGGCAACTCACTGCAGCACGGGCTGCAACCTACGCTGTTGCCTGGCAGCCCAGCTCCAGGTTGAGCTGTTGTTCAGCATCTTAGCTGTAGAGGGCAGTGTCACTGGCCCTCATATGTGGGATCCGAACCGGGGCCCTCTGGCGTCCCAATCCAGCTCTTAACTAACGCGCCACTCGGCCGGCCCCAGTTTTGTTTTTGTTTTTTTATGGTGAAAATGACTTAGACATTTGGAAGCACTCGCAATTGAAAATCTTTCAGGTACATTAACATTTTCTTCTTGAATCTTTACAGTTGTATCCCCCCTACTTCATTTGACAGAAATCAATGTTAGGGCCAAGAAAATCAGTTATTTTTGGTTTGATATATAAAACTGCACTTTCCTCCACTGTTTATCAGTCTTAAATTCCAGATTTTCTATTTAAAGGTGGCAATCCAAATCTGGTTGTCATTTAAACAGTGTCTGGGGAATTATACTTGCATTTTCTTAAATATTAAATATTTCTATTATAAGAGGAGCCTGCGAAGTAGAATGTTTTATATTGCTTGGTTACTTATTTATTTATTTTTTTTTAAGGGAAAGATTTGTTTGATCATCTGCACCATAAAAAGACTTAACTATGGTTTTGTGCTTAGTATAGCTCATTACTGCACTCAAAGATGATTTCAGGCTGTTAGCTTAAGACTCGTTTAAAGTCACTTTGGTGTAAACTTCACCTTGAGTATTTATTATCACTACCTCAGATTTCACAAGTTAAATAAAATGTTTCTGGGTATTATGTGGTATACTTAGAAATTTAGTTATATTATTTTTAAATTTGAATAGGTGTGGAACTACCCTTTTTGTGAGTCACGCCCTCGTTTCATATTTTGTATCATGTGTGAAAAAACTCTGCCATCAACCAAAGACCCTCTCCCCTAAAATTCCTTACTAGCGATTCCCTCCACAAGCCTGTATCTTTGTAACTTGCCTGCTGTTTATTGAAATGGCAGCCAGTCTGTCTTTCAGTCTTGCAACATTTTATGTGTGGTTACTCTTGGCGATTCTGTGGCAAACAAATCTGATTGTTGGTTTTAGATTTCATGCCTCATTGAAGACTTCAGATATTTGAGCCAAAAAGTGGTGATAACTTCTTATGTGTGAAACAGCTTTTGACTGTTACACAATTCTATTCTTGAATCCGAAAACCAATAAAGCAAAGACCTGTTTTAATTATAGTCGGGAGAGTTGGTCAACAGTAAAAGTGTTCACTTTGGTTTCTTAGCCAATTTCAATACGTATAGTATGCTTCTTATTGGTTTGAATATTGCTTTTGTTTTCACTTGAAGATCTTTGCTTTCACAAAAGGTATAGCAGGAGTATCAATGAAATCCATAATGTGCTTATTTTCTAAATTTTTATGTTCACACTCATATTGACTGATAAGGTTGAGTTTTCAATTTTGTTTCTATTTTAAAGTTACTTTAAATTTTTTTAATATTTATTTTTTCTGAATATATAAGAAATTCATCTATTATTTTTTGAAATGTATTCTAAAAAGACATAAAATTAGAGAATTATAAAAAGACTTATTCTCTTACCAATAATTCATTAAAAATTAAAACACTAATTGTCAGTGAACATGCTCTACTTTCTTCCAGATTTAGAAATTTTATATACTGAGAACATTTTGAGAAAACTTCTTTAATTATTAATTATCAGGGTATAAACTGTTTATTTGCTCATCAGAAAGTCTGAAAATGTATGCCCTGAAATCAAAGTTCTACTTAAATTTTCAATTTTTTAAGGAAACAATGCGGTGACTTGTTAGTTTAACTTTATTAGAATTAACATTAGGTAGGAATTAACATCACTCTTTTCAGAAGATCATACTGAGTTTTTCAGAAGTATAATTATTAGAGATGCACTTGAAAATACATGTTCCTACAAGGGAATGTTAACCTAGTTTAGTGGCATCTAATGGCCAGTTTTGAAGTTAACAGTGTAGGTACATATGTGAAATATGCATAATTATATACCCTAAAACTATTAGTATTACACTTAAAATTTTCTATTGGTTTATAATATATATCTAGGCCTTCACACAGCAACAAACATGGCCCAGTGATTAAAGAAAACATTAAATCCAGATATATTTAAGAACATAACATGAAAAAGTTCAGTATTTTTTTCAGTGTACTGGTTCAACACTTGAGCAATAGAATAAGAGTATTTGTGTTTGCAGCCTGACATTTCTGTGTTCCAGCTATCTGATGCTAATTTTGGCAAGTGATTTTTTTACTAATAAAAATGAAGTTAGTAAGAATATCTACTTTAGACTTGTGCTGACTAAATATCAGCTGCCACCATGATTATTATGGTTACTATTATTATTCTAGTGGTGAAAGACCTAACTTTTCTATACAATACCTATACAAAAAATGTATCCATTACTTATAGCTATTATAAGATTAGATCACTTTATGGATATTGGTGTTTTTATAACATATTTTCTGATTATGAAAAATAATACATATTCAGTTTTTTATGGCATACTGATCCCCCACTAAACAATATTTTATGAGTAATTGACCAAGTAATCATTCATAGATCTACCCAAATCTTTTAAACAAGCACATACTACTTTATAATATAGTTAGAATGCAACTTACTTTTTAACATTTTTCTCTACTACTATGCATTTTTGGCTACATTATTTGGTTATTGTTATACTGTTGTACCCTTTGTGTCTTTGTCCTTATATTTTTTAATATTTGTAGTGTTTCTTTAGATGTCTGCATTGTTTTGCTGGATCATAGCATATATACATTTGAACAACAAATTGATGGACTCAGCAACATTTTCTTCCAAAATATTGAATTGTGTTTTACTCACTGTTCAGTTCCCCAAACCGTTACTACTAATACTTAGTGCTATCAACCTTTTAATATTATGCTATTTTCATAACTTGATAAAAGCAACTTTTGCTTAATTTGCATTTTAATGTTAGGGAAGCAAGTAGCTTGCTTCTATATGTTTAATTATTTTCATTTTATTTAAATTGTCCACTCCCTTTGTCTTTCATTGATTTTTTAGAAGCTCTTCATTTGGATATGTTTTGTCTTCTCTGTGTGGCAAACATTTTCTAACAGACTGGTTTTTACCTTTGCTTGTGGTATATTTTCTTATTAGGAAGTTTATATCTTTATTTAGTCAGATATGTCAGATGCTTCCTTCACAGTTTATGAATTCATATTATTTTTTTAACATTCCAAGATTATAAATTAGTCCCATATATTTCCTTTCATAACCTTATACTTTTCTATATTTAAATCTTTTTATCTTCCGAGTTGATTTTTAAGCCTGTTGTGAGAGAATGATTAAACTTAATTTTTTTCCAAATGCATAGCCAAACTAATCTTAGCTTCTTATTGGAAAACTCCAGAATGACTACTATAATTATTATATATACCATTACCATTATAGAGCACTTACAATTGCCAGCACAATACTAAGTGTTGTACATACATTATCCCATTTCATTCTTATTATTTTCTGAGGTGGGTACTATTACTGTATTCATTTTACAGATGGAGGAATCACAGCACAGAGAACTTAGTACCTTGCCAAAGATCATGCAGCTGGAGAGTGGTAGGGTCAGAAGTTAGGATTTGGGTGTAAGTAGCCTATTTCCAGACCTGTAGCCTGTTACTAACTGTGTTATACAGTTTAAGATTATATAGACTCCTTGGTCCTCATACTATGGCAACATTCCAATAGTAACAGTTTTCTGCAGCTGTCTTTATCTAGCCTCTCGGCCTTGACCCTGTCCATGTTCTCCCATACTCTCCCACCTTCCTGCCTGGACTCTGGCATGGCCAGCAGGGTGGTCCCGTCCTTGGTGTTGTGTGCTCCTGATATCTCCAGCAAATACAGAGTAATGACTGTTAGCCTTATAGACAGTTTGGAGGAATATGAGAGATGTATTGCAAAATTCTGGCACTAGAATTTCTATTCTTACCAACCACAATAAGAGGGACAGTTTGTGAATTTGAGCACAAACAGAGTTGCTTTTTGTTCTTATCTCTAATATTGGTTGAATCATTATCACAAACTAGGCTAATATATCACATTAAACTATTACTAACATTAACATTTTAGAGTATATTAATGTTATTTTGAAAATGAAATTTCTAAGTAATATACATTCAAATCTTGAGCTCTTCATAGGAGTAATATGATTTCTTTTTCCTGTTCTCTGAAACATCTTGCCCTTTCAAAACTTAGGTTTATCTTTTTAATCTCTTTAAATATAGCCTATCCCTCCCCAAGGTCTAGCATGAAAAGATGTGCCATGAAGGCAAAAATGGTGAAAGCCATGGCAAATTTTGCCAAAATGTGAAATAGAAATGTGATTTGAATGTTACTTTACTACAACCCTGAAGAGTCAACTCAGCCCATTTTGCAAAAAAACCTATTCTCTGTGCTTCCAGCTCAAGCCTTTTCTTTTCTGACCATTTCTCTGTTTGCTGTCTCAGTCTTCAGGAACCAGCATTACTGTGGATATTGCCGTGATGGGCGAGGCTCACGGCCTCATTACCGACCTCCTGGCAGACCCTTCTCTGCCGCCCAATGTGTGCACGTCCTTGAGGGCAGTGAGCAACCTGCTCAGCACTCAGCTCACCTTCCAGGCCATTCACAAGCCCAGAGTGAATCCTGTCGTTTCCTTCAGTGAAAACTACACCTGCTCTGATTCTGAAGAAAGCTCCGAAAAAGACAAGCTGGCTATTCCCAAGGTAGGTATTAATGACGTACTCCTGGAAAGGTTCAACTTTTTACTTTTTCCTGTCGGGTCTCTTGTCACCCCAAACCCATCCATGTCAGTGACTCCGTGAAGATGTGTTGATCGTGGTGACCAACATAATAAAAACGTAAACATAAAGACTTCTGTCCTTATATTTGAAGTACTGGAAATTAAATTTTTACCTTTTTATATTACCTTTTCTATTCAGACTTTTGAGAAGTTTTATATCAATATGCCAGGCCCTGTTCTATAGGATAAGGTTAAAGCAGCAAAAGAAAGAAAGGGAGGGAGGGAGGGAAGGAAACAAACAAACAAAAAAAGCAGACAAAAATCGCTGTTCCTATTCTAATGTAGATTCTGTTTGAAATCCATTGCCTTCTGAAACACAGGGTTCCTTCATTCTTTGCATTCTTAGTATGGTATCCTTCATAGCACCCTCTTGGCTTTCCCAAACCCAACAAGTTTTGAACTCAGAACAGTTTTGTTTGATTCTGGATTACTTAAAGTAAAAGATGACCTTAGTATTTCCTATAATTTTTTTTCTTTTTACATGTAAGATATAAGAGTTTTTATTTCAGCTATGTAGGCTGTAAGGGATAGATCCTGCACCCTGTTTAGGCCTCACATTAGTTGAAAACAAGTCATATTAAAAACTAAAAGATGTGGATAGAGTGTGGGAATGGAGTCAATGGAATTGTAATAGATAAGTATGATATTGGAGGTGGGAGGGCGGTAGATGGGGGAGGGTAGTTGTTTCTGTGTGAAGGGTGAAAAGGATAACTATTGCATTGTTCTGTACACCTGAAACTAATCATAAAAAAATAAAAAAATAAAAAAACTAAAAGAAAAACATGAGAATTTAAGTGATTGCTAGTATGTCATGCACAGCTATCTATTTGGTATGCAAGCAGCCGTCCTCTGAAGCTGGTGGTCAATCGGTAACCTCATGCTCTTGCTGTTGTGAGTCTCTTGACTCAGAAATGTGTCCTTCACACAACTTTGTCAAATAGGTGTTTACATAGTTTCCTTTCAACAACTACTTCTCTGAAAAAGGTATGGCTCAGCATATGACCATACAGGAACAGAGAGAGATTAACTGATTCCTTTGGGTCTCAAAATAGACATGAAGTCACTGACAGATTTATAGGCAATTATCCTGGTATTTACAGTGCTTGACCTTTTCTTTTCCTATTGAATTACCTTCTAAGATGTGTATTCAGATCTTTAAAAGATATTGGAAACTATTTAATATCAGAGCTATTCTTGAACCCCAAGGTACCATAAACTTTACTTTGCAAAAATTTTTACCACTTTCAGAAGAGCAGACTGTACCTTTGTAACCTATGTTCCCACGATTAGTCTATTAGGAGTAGCTAGCCATCAATAAATGGGTTGAGCTTCTACCTATTGTAATTATTGCTGCAGTTGTATTAGAATGTTTTCACTTTGATTTTCAAGGTTAAGATCCTCTTTAGCATACAGGTGCTCATCCTGGTGATCCCAGAATCTTGCCTGAGTGCTGATGATGCCACATATCCCGCTTAGGATATGGAAGGAGAAGAAATAATAAAGAGAAAATCAAAAGTCAACCAGCAAAGTCCTCTATTAGGAGGAATTGGTACTGATGATCTCACCCATATGCCAGATGTCTGAGTCATGTTAACTGCAAGAGAGGTCGAGCATTTTGCGTCACACTCTTACACTTATCTCCTGTCATTTGTAAATCAAGATATTAAAATTAAATCAGTAAACACTTTAATGTAGAGACTATTATGCAAGATGATATAAATTAATCCATGTTCCAAACAAGTGACTTTTGAGGACAAATGTCTGCTCATAATAATTAATATGTGTGTATAGGAATGTAAATTCTATTAAACTAATATAACTATAAAATTATTCCAAAAGTCATTAACTATCACTCTCATAATCCCATATTTGTGTAATCATTGAAATGAAGGTCTCAGAATGTTATTTTACAATATATCTGAGCACCCACGTTTGAGATAGGTGACATTCACTCAGTACTGTTTAACCAATTCATTTCCAATTAAAAACCCACTTTTTCCCATTATATTACATAGAAGTTAGCAATAGAAAATATGCTTGGTAATAAAATCAACACCCCTTCTTCCTAGCGCCTGAGAAGAAGTTTGCCCCCGGGTCTGCTGAGACGGGTTTCCTCGACTTGGACCACCACCACCTCCGCCACAGGTCTCCCCACTTTGGAGCCTGCCCCAGTGCGGAGGGATCGCAGCGCCAGCATCAAACCGCATGAAGCACCTTCATCCAGGTGAGGCAATGCCCCTGTTGGTTTCACATCCTTTAGAGAAGTTACTTATCAAAAAGCAATTATAAATTACACCGGAAGGAAGGCCCAACCAATAACAGTTGGTTAGAGGCCAGCTTTGAAAATGAAAACGGTGTGTGTTTTAAATGCAGAGCGGTATAGGGATGAACACTACACAATTAGGTTTAAATTGTATTGCGCAGTTTTAAATATAAATGGGAACAGTGACTTGAGGTGATGCTTGCCTGTGTGACTTTGGACGGGGAGGTTTGAACTCAGAATAAAGGTAGCTAGATTTCACCTAGACTGAGATCCATATGGAGAACCTTGAATCAAAGGTATCCCACCTGATGTTTGCAAAGGATTGGTAGATTTCCTCAAGCCCAGCTATCCTAGCATTATATGAAAGGCAGAAGATCAGATCAGGAAGTAGATCATCATCCTAAGAGCACCTAGATATGTTCAAACATTTGGTAATTTAAACTTTATTTAGACAGGGAACAGATGGGTAGTACCCAGAGGCCAGGGGTGGGTTGTGGGCAAAATTGGTGAAAAGGATTAAACGATACAAACCTACAATTATAAAATAAATAAGTCATCAGGATGTAATGTACTGCATGGTGACTATAGTTAATAGCACTGTATTGAATATTTAAAAGTTGCTAAGGGGCCAGCCGAGTGGCTCAGTTGATTAAGAGTGCAAGCTCTGAACAACAGGGTTACTGGTTTGATTCCCACATGGACCAGTGAGCTGCACCCGAGCTGAGCGGCCAACAGGTGGCAGGATGGCTCAGCTGATGAGAGCACAAGCTCCTAACAACAAGGTTGCTGGTTTGACATCCCTCACAACTAAGATTGAAAACGACACCATGAGCTGAGTGGCCGCGAGCTGCCAACAGGTGGCCAGATGGTGACTGGACTTGGAGCTGAGCTGCTGCACCCTCCACAAATAAGATTGAAGGAATACAACTTGTCTGTTACACTTCCCCAATTCCCCAACACTGTTCCCCTTCCCCAATTCCCCAATAAAATCTTAAAAAAAAAAAAGTTGCTAAGAGTAAATCTTAAAAGCCCTCATCCCAAGAAAAAAATTTTTGTAACTATATATAGTGGTGGATATTAACTAGACTTATTGTGGTGATTATTTCACAATATATATTTCACAGTAATACAAATATTAAATCATCCAGTTGTACAATTAAAACTAATATAATGTTATATGTCAATTATACATCAATAAAAATAAATAGAATATGCTTTATTTGGTATAGTAATTCCAATTTTACCAAGTGACTTAAAGCCTTAAAGCCAGAATTTCCAAAGTGAAAGGAAAGTTAATGTTAAGATCTAAAAAGAATTTTGAAGAAAGCATCATTATGAAAGTGATGCTTTTAGAGGGAGCTATTGTGTTTGTTATTTTCTATTAAGAATAAAAATCGCATATTTTATATGAATTCAATAATTAGGAGAGCATTTACTATATGATTTCAAGTTCCTGAAACATTTGCATCAGTTTTATTATTGACCTTATGACTAAAAAAATAACATCTTTGTTGAACTATATGATGGTAATATTAGAAGTAATTTCCTCCTGATCTTGGCCTTGGATATAAATCACCATTCTGACATTGGCAGAGAAATGGAAACCATAAGAATTTAATGACTGCTGACTTTTCTTGCTTTCATGATTAAAAATAAGGTTAATTGGTTTCTTCCACATTCACACTGGTAGTCTAATTCAAATATTTTTTTCCATCACATGTTAGGGTAATTCCATTCCATCTTATTACCTGGACTTCTGTAAAACTTCTAACCACCACAGGAGTATGTTACCAAATGTGTTCTGTGAACATTTTCTAAAGTTTGAAATACAAGTCATTGGTGATATTATCCTCTGAAAATATTGACCATTGTTGATTCCTACAGCAGCAAATGCTGATAAGTGGTAGTGAACTGTAGTTAAATATTTGTTGCTTAAGAAAATGAATTATGTTCTCAATGTATGTCTTTAGAGATGCTGTCTAGTTTACCAATACACCTTGGCAAGACTCCTGTCTTGGCAAGTTAGTTAACGCTTCATGGATTGCTTTCATAGAATGACTACCCAAAATCCTTTCAGTCATTCTCACATGTCTTCTTTCTTTTATTGTCTGTAACTTCTGGTCAAATTTCATTTCTTATCCTCTCTTCTTTTAGTTAAATGAGATTGGGCACAGACATTAAAATCCTCACGAGGAAGAGGGTTTCAAGAACTTTAATGAGCTTAACTCACAAGGACCCTGTTATTCTGCTTTATGAAATAAATAAGTAAATATTTTCAAAATAGATAAGGAGTAGCATATGATCCCACCCTTTCACTTTGTTCTAAAAATACTTAATAGATGTCTTTCTTGGGCATACTTTACTCCATTGCCTAACTTACTTTTCTTTAATTTCACTGTCCTATTAAAAGTCCTGATATAAAATCTAAGTGATACATCTTTTTCATCATTATGAAGACTCATTGAAATTCATTTTGAAGATAATTTTAGCCCCTTATGGGAAAACCATATACAGTAATGCCTTGGTTTGGGAGCATAATTCGTTCTGGAAACAAACTACTCGTATTGCAAGACATCGCTTGTTTACCACATTAAAATGTATTAGAAATGTTTGCTCGTTTTGCAGAACACTCACAAACCAAGTTACTCATAATCCAAGGTTTTACTGTATAAGTAAGTGGCCATAGTATCAACATTACACTTAACTAGTTTGGGCTGACTCATTCTTCATCATGGGTGAAACGAAACGGTGACAAGATAGCCACAGATCATCTACAGCCCCAATTATAAACCAAAGTTAAAACCTTTACTTATGAGGCCTATTGCCTAAACTCCTGATTGATTTCAAAACTGATTTGCATTTTGGCCCTTTGATTGTTCCCCGCTCCCCATGGCTGTCCTTTTATTGAGGCGTCTTAAGGACTGCAGTGATCAAAAGAAGAACCAGAGTGGAAAATGAAAATTAGAAACATTCCTCAGCTCATATCCCTTTGGGTAAATAGCTGGATGATTTACTCCTGGCTAGTTTTAAATACAGCCAAGTAGAAAGGACACTGGACTGAATCAGAAGGCTCCTGGCCCTGCCACTCAGAGATGTGTGTCCTGAGATGCAGGTCCTCAGTCTGAGCCTCGGTACCCACTACAAGGAAACTTTAGGAAATAGGGGAACTATGGCACAATTGGGAGGTAAATTAGGTGGAAGAATACCAGTATGTATTTAAAAGAATAGGCTTGAGAGAAATAAAAAACTCAAATAAATCACACTCTAATCATTCCAAGGCATCCTTGGAACTGACCCCTGCCTCTCTGTATTAGGCAGAAAGGAGGCTGTAAACACAAATAAAGAAACTGCTAGGACCTGGTAAGACTTTTAAGATCTAGCATGAAGTGTTATGGGTAGAATTAAGATTGTAAAATCCACTTTTGTGGAGGAAGGTAGAGACCTCCCACGGCTGACACACAGACAACAGCATGAGAAGATCAAGTTAAGCTTGTCTCAAGCTATTTTCCTCTCCAAAATTCAAAGTATTACATATTCATGAGATCTGAACAGGAATCAAGAAGGTGAGGCTCAATGCAAAGCTAAAAACTATTGTGAGGATCACATAAAGCAATATATTTGAAAGTACAAGTAAAGTATAATGCAGATATATATATATTCATATACATATATACACATATATACATAAACATATTGATTATTTTGTTAATATATGTTTTAATAGATTAATTTAAGAATGGGATATATGGTTAGAATTTTATTTATCTTAAAGTTCATTAATTCCCCATACCTTAAAGGCACTTGAATATAAAACCTTTCAAAATAAGCATGTTTTAAATGTTTTTATTTTAAAAAGTCAAACAGTAGTAGGTAGTTTTTGAGCTACCCTTTCAAAATATAATTTTTTGATATAGTAAAAAATAAATATACAAAATATATAATAAAATAAACATAGTTAATGTTGAAGTCTTATCTTTTAAAAGTCTCCATAAAAAAAGGAATAACCTATTGATTGTATAATATACTGAGAAATAAACAACTTCTAAATCACATACACAGTAAATTTGTTCATAGTAAATATTATAAGTCAATCAATTCAGCAAAAGAAGCTGAGAGGGAATAGCAGTACAATGAATTAGCGTAGTTGTCTATTTGCGATTCAATTTTTCAGTTGATTTTATTGTTTCTAAGAAGGATATGAAACAGATATCCTCATGTATGCCTCGCTTAATTGTATTTGACAATTGCTGGAGTTCATTCTACATCTCCTCACATGTCTCTTTTATGATATATTTTGTAAACTGCTATTAGAAGTAAGGAGAAAAGATGAAGTTTTAAAATACCTGGTTCAACAGTTGCAGAAAAACCTGAAAATGAAAAAAAGAAATGAGGTAACATAAGCATCAGAGTATTAAATCAGACTCAGTGCAAATTACTGATCTTACTCATTGCTAAATTTACCAATAAGGATATAGGCAGCAACAAAGCATATACTCGATACAAAGTATATACTTAGCAATCTTCCCTTTGAGAGGTCTGTAACTGTTAATGCAGCACCCTAAAAGTTCTTTTATTTTATATTAGCACATGTTCTGGTTTGGATTTAACAGGAAGGATTCTAAGCAATGCATGCATAATGTTGCTTACATAGAGGAAGTCATTTTGGTTATGGAGCACCTCCAAATTATACTTCATTAACTAAATAGATTACATGACAATTTCCACCCATTTATGCCCCATAATTCCATCAGTTTCAGGCTTATTTACAATAAGCCACCCATACAGACCAGGTACCTCCCACTTACAGTGCCAATCTAAGATTGGCAGGGGGTCAAATTCTGTTCATGCAAATTGATTTTACCCAGTTCCAAATTTACTAATGCTTGAAAGCACACAGGTGTTCTCAAAACACAGAATGAGCACTTTTCCCTTGGAGTCATCCAAGATTGTTGATGTAGCTTCCTAAATTCTTTTTTCTCTCAAATTATAGGGGATTCTGTTTCAGGTTTGATGTATTGTGTTTTGAGCAATGAATACAGATAAATTTTGGTTCGAAACACTTCCAAAATTTAGATCCCACTAATTGCATTTCTCTGTACCATTCTCTATCCTGACCAGCCATAGATCTATCATTTTCAGATTTATTTACAATAATGACCTAGACAGATCAGGGATATCCTGCTGAAAAATTCCCTAGATGAAGACTCACTGTCCATTACCTTTCTCCTAGTAAGTACCATCAGTGTGTTTTGCAACAGTTCTATCATTAGCATGTTTACAAGGGAATTGGGCTCATCACCTCTTTCTTTCCAGGGTATCACTAGTAAACGAAATTGTAGGTGAAAGGCCTGTTACCTTTTCCTTCACAAGAAAATATTGCAAAGAATATTATCATTGAATGATGTTATAAGCATTAATTTTTGAATTTAGATACACCAAGAATAAAAAAAATAAAGAGCATTTAAGGAAGCAGCATGGCAGTCATAACAAACTTACGTTCACCTGCATCTTAACTCATTATTTTTCCAAGTTTTTATTAATAGACAATCTGGGTGGAACATGATTATAGAAGTAGAGTGAGAAGGTGTTTTGTTCCTAAGTAATTGGATAAGTGGGAAAATTATAATTGTTCTTTTATGAACCCAGTATGTTTGATGAGTGACTGCTGCATCCCTGTAGCAGTGATGGAGCTTAGATAACCTATTCTGTCATTTGGAAGTAAAGTGGTTCTGTCACTGAACCTGAACCATGACTCAGATTGGCAGGTCATTATGGAAATGATAGTTGGGTTCTGGCAAGATCTGCCCTAGTCTTGATGAATAATTTCTTTATTATTTTTTTTTAACTGAGCCATCCTGCCACCTGTTGGCAGCTCAGCGGCTGCTCAGCTCGGGCCAGGACTCGAACTGCTGTTATTCAGAGCTCAAACTCTTGAGCGAGCTCTTAACCAACTGAGCCACTCGGCCGGCCCCTTCATTATTCTTTATTCTCTGTCTTTATAGTGCCGTTAATACTGATTCGTGGAATAACCCCGTGATGATGACCCTCACCAAAAGCAGATCCTTCACTTCATCCTATGCTGTTTCTGCAGCTAACTATGTAAAGGCTAAAAAGTCAAATCGACCAGGTAAGCAACTTATGGGGAGAAGAGTTCTTGTTCATTGAGTGTGCAGTTCCGGAGTGAACTAAGCCTTAGGTGTTGAAATAAAATTCAGAGGATGCCCTACACTCGGATGTGTTTGGTGTGACTGTTCTAAAAAGAAGCCTCAATAACCAATTAATTACTTTCCACTTTATGCGATGAAACAGATTCTTATCTTGAACTTATTGGATGAATAGGAAATCATTGTCACCATTGAGGATCATCTCTGGAAACACCATCTTATAATATAAAACCAAGCGATGTACCTATCAAATTTCAATTTTATGTTTAGTGGCTGTTAAAGGAAAATTAATTTTCAGGAGCGTGGTATTTATATGAGTTGAAAGAAATGTTTTATTTACTATGCATATTATCATTTTTTCAAAGAAATTCTTCCTTGGTATCACTCTCCAACCCCCCACTCCCAAACATAAATACTGAAAAGAAGAGGTATTTAAACGTGGAGAAAATACATCTCAGGGCCTTTGAGAGCCCTTTGAAAAATCCTACGAGTTAATAACCAAAAGACCCAGCAGCACTGTGGGCAGGAAGTTTTTCTTCCCTTTTAGACAGGTGCAAAATGAAATTTGATGTGATTTCTCCCATCTAGGATCTGGCATGTGACTCCTACATGGAGTTTTGCAGGCTGGTGTCAATGCACCCCACGTACTTTCTCCCTTCCCTCAAGCTGCATTTACTTAACAAATATTTGTGAAGTGTTTACTATTTCAGACAGTAAACTAGTTTCAAGGGTATGGCAGTGATTAAGCCAGGCCCAGTTCCTCCTGTCACAGAATTCTCACTTATGTGTACCCAGGACTCTAAATGGCTTGTCAGCTATTACCATAGAGTGTATTAAAGACTATGATAAGGAAGCAGGCAAGGACTTTCGAATAATGAAAGAGATAAACGGCCCTACCCTTGGAGAGAAAGCTTGAGGAAATTAAGATTTTTAAATCACTGGCAAAGCTAGCAAGCAGAGAGGGAAAGCATTGAGAAAGGTAGATGAAAACAGATATGTAGACAGAGGCCAAATGGTACAGGACCTGGGGAGCTATGGTAAGGTGTTTAGATACCAAAATTAAGAATAATAAAGTTCCCAGCTAGAAAGTGAAATAATTTGGGGGAATTATCTCACTTAAGCAGAATCTGTGCTAACTCAAAACTGGAATACAGTTTTTGTCAGATGCTGTCTCCCAGTTGCCCCCCTTTTGGAACCCCAATTGAGAGTCAAAGATATTTACTATGACGGCTCCTTCTTGGAATGTTTAAATTCCAACTTTTCATCTGTCAGCACTGCGGAAAACTCTTGATGAGATTCTCAGTACCTTTCTGTTTAGCTTCATAATCTTCTGCCTTTATAGCAGCTTAAGAATTCACTGAATGGCTCAAGGGGAAAACTGCCCCTTCTCACTGGGCTGTTAGACATTCAAGTTCTGGCTGCCATGGTAGCCCCAAACTCCAATTTTTGTCTCATCAGCCTCATGACATTACTAAAAGCTCTGCTGGCCTGACCTCATAATTGCTGCATCCTTCTGCCTAGATTCTTAGCCTTTTGCTCTATGCCAATGGTTAGTAAATAATGCTCTTGAAAGGAAGAACAGTTCACAGGGTTTGGCTCACCCTCCTGAGACTCTCTTCTCTCTGGGAACTAGTCCCCCAAATGAGTTGTTTCGCCTTGATAGCTTTTTTTTTTCTTTTTTTCAAACTCAGCTTTTCTATGTTGTTCTCAAAATTCTATGGATTTAGTACAAACTACAGAATCCTAGCCAAAAATACAAGTCCTCGAAAACGGCAATGTTTCAATGAGGGTTAGAGAAACAGTACTCACATTCCACAAATATTTCCAGCAGCACAACTTAAGGAAGCATTTCTGTTTTGTTTTGTTTTGTTTTTTTACATCTAGAAAAAAAATTTAGTGATTTCTTTCCCCTTTGATGACCCACTTTATATTAGCGACTATTTCTTAAACATTTAAGCACGAACTTTGCTTAAATCTCTACTGTTTAGTGTAGAAAGAGAGTTTCTCCAGAAAGTACGCTTTTATTGAAATTGCATCACTGAAAGAAACCATTATAGGTAATCTGGTTTTCCAAGAACTAATCTGGTCTTCTCTGTTCTTTGGAAATGTTCATTAATTTTACAATTTAGAAGTCATTAATGACCTGAGAATTAGAATTGAGCTTTCACCAGGGTCAGGAACAGGACAGTGTGGGCAAATACTTACATTGAATTGCCCTGAGGGCAAATGCAGATCAGCTCAGCATTGTGGAGACTCACATGGGACTCCACAAGGTGGAGGCGCCTCATTTGAGCATTGCACATTAAACTTGAGACTTTTAAAGGGGCATTAAAGTGGTCATAGGTCAGGAGAACCCCGTGGCTCCCTACAAAAATACATACAAATCATTTTTGAAGGAAAGCATTGCCAGTTGAAGGCCATGTGATGTCAACATATCAAGTTTAAACAACTCATAACTTAACAACCAAGACCACTAAACACCAAACACCATGAGTTAGAGAAAATGGGGAAAAAAAACTCAATAACTTTCTAGATCTCTAAAAGGGTTCAGATGTTTAAATACTAAAATATTTCATTTAATTTTAAAATATTTAAAGAACACTATGAGATCATAACAAATATAAGCAATGAAAAAAGATATAATTGCAGAAGAGTTAAATATACCTTTTGGAGATATCATCAAGGAAATATGATAGGTTAAGTGACATGATAAGCTATTGAAAGGAAAATTAGTAAACTGGGAGGCAGACAATATAAAGAAATTACCCAGAGTGCAATAGATGAGACACTGGATAATGTAAAAGATTTTGAGAAATATAAGAAAAGGTATTAGAAAATCTAATATACATAATCAAAGTTGTAGTAGAACATAGGAGACATAAACTCTTTGAAGAAAAGTGGAGTAAAGAGGAAAAAAATTCACACATAAACACAAAATAGTAAAAGTACACACCACCAAAGATAATAAAAATCTAAAATCAACCAGAGAAAAGACAAATTAGCTTTCCAGGAAAAGCAGTCAGTCTGAGAGCAGACTGTCTGAAGCAAAGGGCATCAGAACACAGTAGAATTATTTTATTCAAGTTTCTGAGAAAATATAATAGTCAACCTAAAATTTAGTGTCTGGCAAATCTATCTCGCAAGAATAAGAGGGAGCTGAAGACATTGTAAGATTAGTGAAAATTTTACTAGATACCAAATCTTAAGTAAACGAATGTATGATGAATGTATTCTAGAAAGAAAATTAATGGAGCAATCTGGGGTATAACAAAAATGATGAATAAATAAATCTGAAAACCATTGAGTCCATCAAACAAACATTATATGCATAAATAATAGTATTTCCAGATTTGTGGATAATTTTTAAAGATTTTTTAAGGACAGAATTAAAGTATCAGACAATAATAATATGTAACTTGAAGGCTGAAATATGAATTTAAGCTCTCTGCATTCTTTTGTAGCACAGGAAACAATTCAAATGAGGAAAATGAAGAAAATTACTTAACAGAAATGTTAAGTAACTTGCCCAAGCTCATATAATTAGTCCTAAATTCTTTCTTTTGTCCTAATGACTTTATAGTAGGAAAAAAAAATTAAGGGCAACAAATTGAGATAATTTAAAATTAGAATTTTTTGGTGCTATTCTTGGCTGAGTACAAGATAATGGAAAGATTTGGTTTTCTGTCTCTTCATTTCTTCATTTAGATAATGAAATTAAAATTATTAAAATAACCAACATGATAAAGTCGAGAAGCTGAAAATTGTGCTCACCTCAGCAGCACATATACTAAAATTAATATGCACATATAAAATCAGTATGCTGTACACCTGAAACTAATATGTTCTATGTCAGTTATACCTCAATATAAAGAAAGAAAATTAAGCTGAAAATTATGGTTAATGAATTCACCGGAAATACAGTACAAATGATGGGAAGACATGATAAGCAGCCTCATATTCCTGTGCTGTGCTCCCCCATTCATATGACTGCACTCAAAAAGAAAGGGAAAGTGTAAAAAGAAAAGAGTGTCCACATACGATACCGCAAAGGCAGGCGGTAGAAATTATGGCCGGAGGCATGGCAAGAGCCTCCCTCCATTCCTGACATAAAGTATCTAAGGTATCTCCATCAGGATGACTTTGGAGGAATTTTGCCTTGTGGCATCTTTAGATTGCTGTCACAGCAGAGATAAATATTTATAAAATAACCTATTTCCTACGCATGCTGAATTCAACTAAACAAATCCCTGAACATCTGCCAAAAGAGAAAAAAAAAAAATCCATCAAGAATCAGAGAGCTGAAATTCAATTACAGTTCTCCCTGATCAGATGAGCCTTTCTGTTTTGAAACCCTTGTTTCCCTTCATTGATGGCATTTTGTGCTGATTGAGCTAACTAGGTGTGCTATGTTTGATGTAATTGACTATGATGCCAGCTGGTTTTCAATAAACTACGAGGAAAGGGACCTGGTAAAGCCCCTTTATGTGGCAAAGAGCATAAGGAAATGGAATCAAAGTGTGAATGGAGTCTGAGGAGGAAAGTAAGAAGCAGTAGGCAAAAGAGGTAGGGAGTGCAAGCATAAAGAAGAAAATAGAAACAATGAAAAATAAATGACCTGTTTCCAGAGAGGGCTAATGAAATCTGTTCTTTGCACAAATCAAGTCAACAATATGTCCTCCAGCTCAATCAATCAGCATTAATTTAAATGGCTGAAACACAACCAATTATTATGCAGATACTAATATAAAATAAATGGATGAAATTGCATGGGAGTGCTTTGATTAGAGCATAAAATAGGAGATTTAAATATGATTTGCATTTTCACTCTTGCTTTTCTGTTATGAGTCACTGACAATGTAGAATTGTCATTGTCATTCTGCTTTTAAAATTCCTCTAATTCATACTTACTGAATTTGCAGTACTCCCTACCCAGATTCTAATAATTCTTAAAAGAATCTTATAATCCTATCATAATGATTACAGATCTTTCTACACCTAAAAGTAGATTTTTTTTCTATAGAAAATTTGAAGTGAGAGAGAACTTTAATTATGACATTGTGACTTTTTTACTTTTTCTTTTTTTCTTTTTGCATTCTCTATACTTTAGATAAAGTTACTGTTTTGGAGAAATATTAGGGTTATCCATTTGCCTGTGGGCATGGAAAAGAGGAATGTATTTGTCAGAAATGCTGGTTCTTTTCTTGTTCAATTAAAATTAAACTGAGAGAGTTTTACAGCACAAAACAGATGGATTTACTTAAATAATTTCCCTCCAGTATTGTTTATCATCTCCTTTTGATTGCCTAAAGTTCCTTGTGTCTTGACACACATTTTTTTTATGCTCTCAGGAGCAAGAAATTAAAGACTGAAATACTCAAAAGGACTTGGCATTTAAAAAATTTAAAGTTATATTTTTAATTTCTTTTTATTTTTAAATGTTTCAATTTTAAGTATTTTTTATTAGGGCAGTTTCAGTTATTCAAAGATTTGTATTTCGTAAGCTATGTCTTTTTCCTGGAGCCTCTTAAAATTACTCAAATAGAAAATGATGAAAACTATATTTGAGGAAATATGTTTATCTGAATCTCTTTACCTGTGTGTGTGTGTGTGTGTGTGTGTGTGTGTGTGTGTGTGTAAATGTGTGAGTCTGCAGCATAAAGTTAGATGAAATATCAAAGGTCATAAAGTTCTCTAACTGTAGACATGATTACACATAAAATATCTTAGAAAATAATCTGTTCTTCAAGACTTACAAAAAAGGCATTTCTCCCATTTCCTTTGAGGATCCTGTTTTCTGTATCTGAAATAATTTTGCTTGTAGTCTATCCTTTCTGGAAAGGGAGTATTTAGTTATTATCTACACTTACAGGGTGCAGAAAAAATGCATACACATTTTAAGGAAGGAAAAAAATGTATTAAAAATTTAATACTCAATATATATTGATAACAAAAGATGAATACAAATCACGTTTGACGTCTGCAATTACAAGAGGTGCTTGCAGTGGTAATCATCAGCACAATTTTAATACAGTTTTTCTCCTTTCTTAAAATGTGTATACATTGTTTTGGCACCCTCTGTATATCTCTCCAGTTATTTGAAGACTAATATATGTAAACATGTGCCCATTTCTTACGGCATTCCTAATCCTTTCTGTTTTTAAAACTTGAAATAAGCTATGATAATGTACACTGTAAGAAATAGTAGTTTGGTTGGGGAAAAAAAGGGAACTTAATACGTTTATACCTTTATGTTCTCACCTACAGAATAAAAATATCCCTGCTTTTCATGATTGTTGCCAAGACTCATGCTTGTTCGAAGTGTACCAAATATGTAGACTAACAGTACCGCAGAGGCAAAGTGCTTTTCCTCTGTTTCAAAGTTTATTTTAAATTTCATCCCAGGCAGTAAATTTGGAGTCTTAAGGTCTGCTTATTTATTTAAGTTTAGTTAATCCCTGCGTTCTAAGAACTCTAATCATTGAGTGGATTTTTAAATTTAAGAGAGAATTGCATTTCTCTGAGAACATCAGCTGGCAGCTACTAAAAATTAGCAATTAAAAAAAAATCACTCTTCTCATAAATTGCCTTCAGAAAATACGTTGTGTCAGAAGAGAAGTGGGCAATGCTGGCACAGGCCTTGTAAAAAAGTAGTAGAAATTTGTCAGAAAACTCACGATTAACTATCAAAATCGTGAAAGAATTGCCTAAAGCAATGCCCATCAGGAGTCTCTTGTTTTAGATACAGCCAAAAGCTCTCCTTGGCCTACGGGCCCCAGACAGTCTTGCCCAGGTTCCCTGCTCCTCCTCTTCCTCTTGCTCAGCGGAAGCCACACTGACCTGACTGATGCTCTGAGACGCCCCAGGTCCATCCTTCATTCTGGAACATGCTGTCCCCAATACTTGTCTAAATGTCTTCCTTCTTTCAGCAGGCCTCTGTTCAAATTTCCCCCCTAGAGCATTTCTGTCCTTTTCTGTTCTCTACCCTCTGCATTATTTTTCTTCCTTTCACTTAAAACTACCTAGGTGACTCTCTCTTCTTTTTTCTATTTCTACACCTCCTTCTTCTTCCTTCTTTTTTCTTCCTTCTCCTCCTCTTCCTGCTTCCGCCTCCTTTTCCTCTTCCTCTCCTTCTCTGTCTCCTGCTTCTTCTTCTTTCTCTCCTCCCCCAAACGAGTGGAAGCTTCATGAGAGCAGGGACTTTCTTTTGTTCGCTACAGCCTTCGTATTCCCCAGAACAAGGCACACAATCGACCTGTGTTGAATGAACAAACCGTTGAGATCCTGACTCTGTGCCAACACCTTGGTCATCTTTCTACCCTGTTATACCTCCTCCAGCTTCTCAATGCCTACACTGCTTTGTGTACGCTACCTAGAGACTCAGTTGGCCATAATCTAACAAATGATCTAAATTAAACCAGTCATTTTCAACATGTTTTTTTTATGTCAGAGCACACATATATGTGTAATAATATGTGTGAATATGATAATGTTATATAGCATTGGAGAAATGGGGAGGAACTTAGAGCTTATTGAAAATGTTATTTTCTTTATTTTATAAAATGATAAAATCTAATTATATTAGGTTGTAATGTAGTTTATAATACTATAAATCTAATATTAGAAATTTATTCTGGAGCTTCCAAATAAAACTTTTTTTTTTTTTTTTAATGTGTAACTGTTAGTACTTCATAGGGTACCTGGAACCCGCTTGCTACACACAATGATATGTTGGTTAGGAAACACTGAATTAAAAATATAATGCATTTAATTAATTTTCTTTTGGCTTCAGATATTGTGTAATGTGAAGGCTTTACAGAATTTTTGGTAAAATAGCTAAATCTTTTCAGTAGAAATAGAAATCAAAATTAAAACCATAAGGCGTGTCATTGTAAAGAGCAACACAGGTGCCTAGTAAATAATGGGTTTTTCTTCTTCCTTGGGTAGTCTCTGATAAACGCCTGGGCTAATGAACCACATTTTACTAAGAATAGCTGGGCTTACTCCATTCCCCTGCTTACTAGCACTGTGACCCTGGGACGCTTATTCAACTTCTCCGGGTCTAAGTGGTTTCAGCTAAGTGTAAAGGCAGTAAAGTGTAAAGGGGATTGATCTGTTGATCAGGAATCAACAATAGAAATATTGAGAAAAGGATTAGAGGAGGTTGCTGGCCTCCACCTGGAATCAAAGGAAGAGTACAATTTCTCATCTGTTAAAAACAAAACAAAAGAAATAATGGTGCCAACAAGGAACTTCAAAAATTACAAAACCTCTTCAGCAAACTTAACATTCCTTTCAGTGGACCAGGAAACCTTTGGGTGTGACAAGTAAAACTTTTGGGAGAATTGGACATAAGAAGCAGACAAAGCCAGCTGTCAGTTCACCACACATATTGTTCGATGATGTGAGGGCGGCTGGCTGTACATTTCCCAGCAGTGGTGAGAAACAGAAAACAACTTTTACTGATTTTATTTCATGTGCTTTACAGTAGGTTGTTCAGCCTTAAAATCATGAGAAGCAGTAAGCAGGTGTTTTTTCAGAAGTTATTTCTCTCTTTTCTTCAATGTTAAATGTAGACTGCCTTCTCTACATTTGGGAGAAAGTGACTTCAAACGACATTGTCCCTGTACTCAAATATGAGCACTTTGAAATCTAATCCAGTGCTGTGTAAAATTTTCACAATCAAGAGTAAACAGAGTTTGGCACAAATATCCAAACTTAAATTTTAAGCTCCAGGCCTATTATTGGGATCACATTACCTTTTTAGATGTTTTCTTCAGAAATTACTCTGATCAAAGTATGGTTTCATACACACAGAAAAAGGAGTCTCACTGAAAATATGGATGGTTAATAAAGTTAACTGCTCTCAAAAATTTATCATTTTTATTTATATATTTTAAGTGTTGGATGCCTGCCAATCTCTGCTCTAGATACGTTAATGTTTAAAACAGTAGCTGATCCTGTTGCTACTAAAAACTTTACAACCGAAGAGAAGGCAAATACATGAGAAAATGTGAACCAATATCATCGTGTTAGAATGACAAGAAGAAACACAAATAAATATCCCTCTGTCCTGAAGTGACTCCAGGACACCAAGGCTTTAACTGGATTTGCCAACATCGCCACTGATTTTTTTTTCATGATGATTCATTCCTCACATTTCATGCTGTGGAGACACCCCCACTGTACACCATGTCCAGATGGTGGCATGCCGAGGAGGCCAGCCTGGTGGCCTAAGTGCTCGTGTGGTCCTCATTGAGTTAAAAGAAGCCCAAGGTGAAGTTTAAGAGTTGCAGTTTTGCATTCCAAAGACATTTGTTTTGACTTAATAACTCTCTTTCTTCCTCAGGTGCCCTCGCTAAAATTTCACCTCTTTCATCCCCCTGTTCTTCACCTCTCCAAGGGACTCCGGCCAGCAGTCCGGTCAGCAAAATTTCTGCAGTGCAGTTCCCAGAATCGGCCGACACAACTGCTAAACAAGGCCTAGGTTCTCACAGGGCCTTAAGTTATACTCAGAGTGCCCCTGACCTCTCGCCTCAGATACTGACTCCACCTGTTATATGTAGCAGGTAAAGATTTTATTTTGTTAACTGGAGTTTAACTATAAAACTTATACTATTTTTCTTCTTAGGAGTTCTCACCACCAGCAGTCCACACAGCTGTATGTTTGCCAAAGTAGTGGACAAGAAAGTATAGGATAATATGATTTGTGTTGAATAAGCTATATTTTCAGTGGTTTTCTAGTCATAGAAAGTTGAGTCCATATGGTCCATACAGCTAATCTTTGGAGATTATATAATTAGTTGTATAATTTGTCTGCTTACCGATAGAAAATACATAAAACATGTATTTAAAAAATTATTTTAAGTAATTCATAATTTGATATTTTGTTGGAATATTTTTTAGTTGTTTTCCATAGAGAATTTTATATTGATTTTAAGGCATTTCATCTTAAGTTTACAATTCCCATTTTATTACTTTAAAAATGTGCGCATAACATGTGGCACATTATGGCTGGACTCAAATGGGTCTCAGAATGCAATTAAGCAGTTGCTTGTATTATGTCGAAATACAATTAGAAAGTGTTGTCTTTTCACAGAGGATTAGAAAAGAAAGGCCTAGCATGGCAAGAGTAATTATTTTGCCAATATTGTCACTAAGGAAGAGGTACCACCTCTTAATGATTAACATAGTGTCATTCTCCACTAATAGCTGCATCTTGAATAATTGATCTTAAAGCTTTACAATATCTCTTTAAATAGAAAAGAGTATGTGTTTTTAAACTAAGTATAATCATGAGAGTGCCTTGAATAAAATGTTGTTTCTTTTCTGAGGTTAATGAGGATAGCCATTGGAATAAATTTTTGCATATTGGTCTTCTAATATCACATGTTGTTTCACAGACACAAATGTGATCAATATATTCACTTTTGAGTTTCACAGATTTCATTGTCAGATCCTTTGTTCGTAAACTCTATAAGTTAAATGAATGTTTCATTTTATAATCTTTATTTTGACTTCCTTTCTCATTATAAGTGTTTTTAAAGGGAAAATAATTTTGGTTTGTTTATTTGGCCAAAGCTAGAATAAAAATTTATTCTACCATCCAAAAGTTATTCTGCTGCCCTCCCTGTGACAGCTTTTTTTAAATAAAATAATTTCCGTAGGATATTACTCCCATCCTCCCCCACAAAAAAAGCATGATAAAACAGACATATTTCCCTTTCAGTGGTTTACAACACACATCACCTTACTGAAAGCCCTGAGAAGTCCTGCAGAAAGAAAACCTCTTATTTTTGTTTCGTCTAGCGTTTTCTGAATTTATTTGACCACGGCACCAATTTCTTTAGGTTAACTCCCAATAATTGCCCATGGAGCTGGCGTTTGGTGGAACACCCTTCAGAAACATTTTTTGGGGGTTTGCATCGTGAGCCAGGATGAAGCCCAGTGAAGTAATCAGCATCAAGTACATCTGCTTTAGGCATTTCTAGAGAGACTCTTGCCACTGAAGGCTTCAGACTCGTGTGAAATAAGTCACCTAAAGAGATGGTCAGAAAAATACTACCACTTTTCTGATCACAGTCTACTTTTTGTATTCTTAGCAGGAAAAATGTAATGGGATTTTATTAAAAAAAAGATTTTGGAGAAAAACAAGGCAATTTCACTGCCTACTTGCTCAGTAATGTTTATAAATCCAGTAGTGTGTGTTTTATTTGTTTGGGCTTTATAAATCTATAATTCAAACCATGTTTTATTATTGCCTTGAAGGCAGCCACCCATGTAGGCACAAGGAGCTCCAGAAACACACGACTAATTATTGTGGTTTCCCCTGCTGAACTCGAAGGGTTTGGCATCGGATCCCAGTCTCTTGGCTGCTGGAATGTCTATGCAACAAGCTGTTTTATTGGCATAAGTGGTAGTATATTTGAACTGCTAATTTAAATGTTCCTTTTAAGTATTCTCTTGCAATGAAACATTTTAAAACTAATAAATGCTACTTCTACCGAGTTTCATTGGGGAATGTAAGCACATTATTTGCATCTACCTTCTTTTTCTTTTTGTCATTTTCTTTTGATTCCCTGAATCAAAACTGATGGGATTTCATAATCAGAAATATTTTGCATGAGATGCTTTTTCACTTACCTATAAGACTTGAAAAATAATTAACTTAGGATGAGAATACTCTCTATCTAGAAAGTGCTTATCTCTACCACACGTATAAACACAATTCAGGGAAAAGAGTGATGTGACATTTAATATATTAAATTATCCACTATCACTCACTTCTTTTCCTTTTAGAGTGAGTAATCTGTGGTTAAATAAATAAACAGAAACCCTCTGAGACCCTTTGTGATATTAGGCAGAAGGAAGAAACCCAGAAGCAAAATGCAAAATTAAAATCTAACCATGCTGTCTCTAAACAAGATAAATGAGAGGGGAACTTGGCCAGGCCATTTGTGGAGTCACTTTTTAAATTTATAATGCAGTGCAAACTGTTGAGAAAGCAGAAGTGTCCTACATCCGCCAACCTCCTCTGTTGAACAGCCCTGTCCACTTCTCAGGTATCTTCATTTTCCTTAGCTACCCATGGTGGACCCCCTTGGCCTTTTTCTCAGCTCACATCCAATGTGGTAATTTTATATTCACCCTTCATCAAAATATACTACTGTGTTTATCTCCTTAGGGTCTTGACAGGTAACTGATCCATCTCAATAATAGTAATAATAATAATAATAATAATAATAATAATAATAATAATAATATGAAGACGAAGAAGAAGAAGAATTTTTGAGGCAAAAAATAAAATTAACGCCCTATCATTCTATTTTCACATATGCAATCTTTTCTTTTCTTTTTTTTTTTTAAAGATTTTATTGGGGAATTGGGGGAGGGAAACAGCGCTGGGGAATCAGGTGAAGGGGAACAGACAAGTTGCGGTTGTTTTGTTCTTCAGTCTAGCTGTGGAGGATGTTGCTTCATTGGCCCAAGCTGGCACCATCATTGCACTCTTTCCAGGCGAGGCAGATCAGTCGCCGGCTTCTGGACCGCCGCTCACCACACATGCAATCTTTTCTTAAAGGGCTCTTTGAACATAAAATGTCTTAAGCCATAGAAATAAATCTAATAATGAGGCTTTTACACAAGCACAAAGGGATTCCATCGGGGAAGATGATGTTGACTAAATACACATTGGCACCTCCAAAATCACTACTATAAGTAGGTAGCAGACTATCCCAGGATTTTCTGAATAATGTAACAACATTTTACTGGTAGTTTCCCCTCCAAGGTGGTCTAGACTAGACTATGGAAAAGGATGAGAGTCAAATGAAGTGTCTGATCCTTTGGATTGATCTCACCGAAAAGAAAACAGTCTAGTATATATTAGCATCCATGTATAAAACAAAATGAGGTTTTTCCTCTCAAGTAGAAGGTAGGAATATTTGATTATTGTTATCTATCTAACTGTACATATAGATGGTGTGTGCTATGATTTTTTTAAAAGACAGGATACACTTAACAGCTGTTCCCGTATTTCTCAGCTGCGGCAGGCCATATTCCCAGAGGAACGCTGCTGATGGGCCCCTGGAGAGAAGCGGTGCCGCCATTCGGACACCCGGCAGAGGGGGTAATTCTTTGTTTGAATTCTGTTTTTCAAAATAGAAATTGCTTTACTTACTGTTTCTCTGGTGAAAAAGATAACATGTTACTGATGTTTTTTTTTTTTAGATTAGAAATTAAAAAGAACAATGAAAGAATTCAAAATCATGCCTAATCCTACTACCTAGAGTTAACCGTGGGTAAAATTTTGATGCAGATCTTCCCAGAATATTCCTATATATCTATACCCAAACATACATTTTTTTTGAATAATGTATAGAACTATACATTTTATATAATGTATAGAACTATATAGAAATATGTTTTATCTTGAATGTTGGAAGGTCATCCATTTTAGGGTACTCTCTGGAGATTTCCAAGGCAGACCCGGGGAAATGACCCTTCTCTGATCACAGTAGCTTTGCCTCGAGGCAGTGAAGCAGGCACTGGAGCCAGGTTTCTGTGCTGATTCGCTACCTGTAAGTTTGTAATCTCTGTGCCTCAGCTCCTTTGTCTGTAGAATGGGGATGGACGATAATAGAAACCCCAAACAGGATTGTTGTAAGAATTAAATTACTCGCAGCAAGTAAAGCATTCATTATAGTATCTGGGTCACTTTAAAGAGTTAGTGTTTGCTGCCATTACTATAATACTTTTTTTATTTTTACTGATGCAATCCTAGGGACTTATTTTGTTAGTGCTGAAAGTTCAGACGGTAGGAAAAATGGCTTCTATGAACTACAGACTTTAAGGTGATGGAGTTACTACTGAAGAATGATTCTTAATCATTGTTTTCAGCATTTCTTGATATATATTCAATAGATATTAATTTTTTTGCCTATGACAATGGTGTGCTGCCCCAATGTATGAGGTCAGGGAACATAGGCAAGGAAAAATTAAAAGGAAAATTCCCTGTGTGGCCATTACCGATATTGATATAGAATAGTCCCTTTTCTGTGTCCCTTATCATCTCTGACTATTGAAGCTACAGAATAAGGGGAGCATTCCCTATCACCTTTGTTGTCTCATATGGCCTTTGAGTATGCTTCTTTATTTTTTTCTGCAAATTCTAGGATTGAAACTTATCAGTTATATTTTCATATTGTGCCTGATTCAAAGATAGAAGCGGCTGCATGAGAAAGATGGAAGAAAGATGGATCCTTGGAAAACTCCTGAAGGACACTTCTGATTGGGATAGGCTACATAGCAAAAGCCATTATTCACTAGCAACTTAAGGAAAATCTGTTAGTAAATGGTTGAGGACATAGAACAAACTTAGAATATCCAAAGCTAGCTTGAAAGAGGAGAACAAAATTTGAAGGAACACATTACCTGACTTGAAAACTTAAACTACAGTCATCAAGATAGTGTGTTGCTAGCATAGGATCAGCAAATAGATCAAGCAGAATAGAACAGAAAGCCCCAAATTAGACCCCTAGCTACATGGTCATTGAATTTTTAGCAAAGATGCCAGAGAAATCCTTTCAGAAAAATCCATTTGGAAAAAAATGAATTTCACTCCCTACTTCACATCACATGAAACCTTACTCTGAGATGGACCATAGATAGACCTAAATGGAAAAGCTAAAATAATAAAGCTTCTGAAAGAAAACACAGGAAACAATCTTTGTGACTTGGGAGAAGGCATTGATTCCATAGGCCATGGAAAGCAATAACCATAAAAGAAAAAAAGAAGCTAGATTTCATCAAAAGTAAAGTATAAGAACTTGAGTCAGACTTCATGAGTTCGTTGTGGTGGCCAAATTTACCAGCTGTGTGCCTTGGGCAATTTACTTAGCTGTCCTTTCTGTGCCTCAGTTTCCTATCTACAAAGTGAGGAGAATAGTAATGCAGTAATGTAATAACACCTGCCTCATCGGATCGTTGAGAGGTTTAAATGTGTTAGTACAAAAGAAGTGTTTGTGATGGTATCTGCATGTAGCGAGCATGGAATAAACTTCATTGAGGCACATTATTCAGCTGCAATAAGTTTTTTGAGGTTTTTGCCCCAAGAGTAGATTCTTGAGACACTTGCTATTACCTGATTGGTCCTCTAGTTAGCACAGTTTAGTGCTGACTGAAATGGGAGACAGTGGAGAGAGGCCATAAGGAAGGAAGCACAGGTTCCTGGGAATCGAGATTGGATACATAGGATCTTCCATGCTCTTAAGCACATACTATTGATCCATATTCTACAAATCGCTTTGTTTTTGGATGTCAACTCAATTTCTCCCATCCATGTGCCCATTCTAGAGTTAGTGTTTTAGTCAGCTGCTAGGTGGTTTAGTGTGTTGGGGGATGCATAAGTAAAAAAAAAAAAAAAAGTAAAGTCATAGGGTTTATAAAGGCCTGAACTACCGATCTAAGCATTATTATTGAGGGCTTATTGAATGTCCTATAAATCAAGTCATAATTCTGTCCATTTTATTGGGTTAAAAAATGTGTGTTTTCTCCCAGCCTATAATCCTATATTTTTTGTGTGTAAGCTCATGTAAGCAATAGTTCCCTGGACACTATATTTACCATATGTATTTTAGGAATAGTGACTTAAACGGGATCCCTTTTGTTATTGAAAGTTTCTTAATAAGCTTTTCTCTTTCAACTTCAGATGACACTGCTCAAGTTACCTCTGATTATGAAACCAATAACAACAGTGATAGCAGTGATATCGTACAGAATGAAGATGAGACTGAGTGCTCAAGAGAGCCTCTGAGGAAAGCGTCGGCTTGTAGCACCTACACACCTGAGACCATGATGTTCCTGGTAGCCCCATATCACTTAACTCACTCGTTTACTTGAGAAATTGGCTTCTGTTACAGAGATTGACTTAGAAATAGGTCTCTGAATCATTAGATTTACAGATATATCTCATTTGGATTACACACGTATTATAGCCCTACCCATATGCATCAATATAATTTTCCCTATCCAAGTCTTATTCATCTCTTAACGATTCTCTTCCTTAGTGATTAAAAACATAAGTATTTGTCTCCACAGATGATTACAGATATTTCTTAACCAAATCTAAAAGTGTAAATATGCATAGGAAACATGAATTATTTCATTCAGCAAAGTAATATTTTATAAAGATCAATCACTTAAGTCAAGTGTATTAGTTGTCTTAGGGTTTCTGTTGCTTTTTTTCTAGAACCTCCTTGATTTAGAAAGTGAGCCAATATTTATTTTCCTCATTATATTAAATCAGTTTTACATCGACACTTGCTACCCATTAAAATATATTTTAAGGAATTACTTTGTGTATTTAAAGAGACCCATTTAAAGAGGGTAAAATTATGTTTGAGTCAGGTTAATTTGGGATAGGTAGCAAATGGTAGAAAATACTGACTGTCATGTAATTATCAATTATTGCTATTATCATTTTTCTTTTACCTGATTTATCATTTATACTTTTAAATCAAAGATATTTACAGATAAAATAATTCATGTTTTCTTATCCTCATTATCTTTCTTTTCTTTCTTTTTTTTTTTTGATAAATGTACTCTTAAGAATGTCCTCATTTGACACCAGTTATAAAATGTCTATGCATTTACATGTTACATGTTTATTTGGAAACCATACATCACATGAATTAAATTAAAATCCCTAAAAAATATGGCTGTTGTCATTCCACAGGTTTAATGCTGATTTTGAAGCAGTAATACAAATTTGACCAATTAGAGTAGGTTGATTAACTCCCCTTCTCCACTCATGGGTTTCTTTTGAGAGTTAAGTATAAGCCAGGAACCCTCATCCCACAAAAACCTGCATAAACATATAAAGAGATAAATTTACATACTATTTTATTTTTTGTTTTGTTTCGTTTTTTATTATTGTTTTTTTTTTAAGATTTTTATTGGGGAATTGGGGAATGGGAACAGTGTTGGGGAATCAGGGAAGGGGAAACAGACAAGTTGCTGTACTTTTGTTCTTCAGTCTAGTTGTGGAGGATGTTGCTTCACTGGCCCAAGTTGGCACCATCATTGTGCTCTTCCTGGGCAAGGAAGATCAGTCGCCGGCTTCTGGATGGCCGCTCACTGCAGCTGCTGGCCTCTCATGCTGGCTGCTGGCCACACACGGTAGCCCATGGCAACCCACTGCAGCAGGGGCTGCAGCCTATGCAGTCGCCGGCGACTCACGGCAGCCCAGCTCCAGGTTGAGCTGTTGTTCAGCATCTTAGCTGTGGAGGGCAGTGTCACTGGCCCTCACATGTGGGATCCAAACCGGGGCCCTCTGGCGTCCCAAGCCAGCTCTTAACCATCGTGCCACTCAGCCGGCCCTACATACTATTTTAAAGTGCTCTGAAGCCCTTGAATCTTTATTTAAAACCCCCACAATAGACTAGAAAGGAGTTATGTCAACTTATGGAAGAAACATCCAGTTTTTTTGGTAACATTTATGTATGATCAATAGGCAGGCAACTAATAATGCAAAATTCATGGTTTGAAACAGTATCAGGACCTTTTCTCCTTACTTTGAGGTCAATGTCTTGCTCATCTTGATTTTTTTTAAAGATCACCCAGTCACCCATTCACCCTGAAATTTTAAGTCATTTATTTCAGATAAACTCAGTTGTTGAATTGAAATTACCCAAGCATAAATTGCTTTGTAGAAAAGTTGCAGGTTGTTAAAATGTTTTTATCTTTATTACAGGACAAACCAATTCTTGCTCCTGAACCTCTTGTCATGGGCAACTTGGACTCAATTATGGAGAAGTTAAATACTTGGAATTTTCCAATTTTTGATTTGGTGGAAAAAATAGGAAGAAAATGTGGCCGTATTCTTAGTCAAGTAAGAAATGCATTCATGCATATTACTTTAACTGTAGAAAAAAATATTTCTTGGTTGATTAAAGCTCTATACACGCTTGACACCATGGTAGTATTAGGCAGAGAAAGGAGATTTTAGTACCCAACATTCTGTAGATTCCTTGGTGGATGGTTAACAAAAGGAATTGGACCTTCAAGGGAGTAAAATACCACATTCTGCAATTAAAATATGCATGGGGGGGTTGTGCAGGGACACACAAGCAAGATGGGGAAATGACCTAAAATTCATAGAATTTAGCAAAGGAAAAGCTGACACAAGCCCTCAAAAGAAGAAAGTTGACTATTTATAAACACTAATCTATTGTAATAATTTCCATTGACTATTTTTCTAAACTTTTAATATTACAGTGCTTAGGCCTTATTAAAACTAAGATATTATGCAGAAATATGTTTCCCCCTTGTGTTATGGGAAACATATCAAATAGAGTTCTCTGCATTTTAATATGGAAAACACCTTTATATATCACATATATATAGAATGAGAACTATTGCTGCATAACAAGACTTCTAGTATTTTTTCCTTAAGCTAGACTATTTTCAAGACTTCCCCCAATAAAGAAATGTTTGTTTCCCTGAGGGAGAAAAAAATACAGAAATTGAGAATCTGAACGTGTTTGTTCTAAACAAGCAAAACAAAACAGTGGATTCACTCTATTCCTGAACATGTATCAAAATAAACACTCTTAATTAAAGGGGATGATGCAACACTATGTATCCACTTATTTAAAAATGTTTTAGGTGAGTTCTTATATATTGAATAAATATTACAGCAAAGATACTAAAGAATACCAAACTTGATAATATAAGACTTAGTTGAGAATTCAGGACTCAGATTCATTGGAGCTACTAACGCTTCACTGCAACACACTTGAAGAGAAAGCACATGTTATACTGATCTCTATTCTGAGCATCCGAAGCAGGCCTTGTTTGGATCTCTCAGCAAGTATCTAAGTGTGGAACTTTGGGGTGAAGATTCCTGATCCATGAAAGTTTGAAGGAAGAAAATAGAGGGACCTTTTCCTCTATTGCTCGTTGCACAAACCCAAAGTATTAGTCTAGTCTTCAAGAAGAAAAATATGTCCCTGCCTTAAAGGAACTTCCATTCTAGTTGGGAAATGAGATATATGTCAGTTCAACATGCTGCAGACAAAAGAAGTATGCTAAATTGATTGATGAAATATGAAACTCAGAATAATTACAATGTCTGTATAATAGGCAATCACTGCCTCTGCCAGATGCTATTCTGACCAAGAACACATCGAGGACTAAAAATGGTAGCCTTGGGTCTCTCATCAGGAATCGATAGTCCCATTCCTCTCTTCCTTTCTTCCCAGTGCTAAGCAACCTTTTTTTTTTTTTTTTTTTTTTTTTTTTTTTTTTTTAATTTAATGCTAGCTGATCTTGAGAACAGGCTTCAGGGCAGCCATTTGTATCCAATCCACTTTAACCTCACACCTCAGGGTGCCCCCTGGGAGGTTTTATATCCCACTTTCTGAAACCCATTGTACACCGTGACTGACTCTGAGGGAGTGATTTTTCCTGGAAGTATGCCTGTAATGGTGCCACAGGAAGATGTGACAGTGGGCCAGGAAGTCTTTCTCTTCTACTGGAGGATGTGCTTGTTGGTATGGAGAGAAAAGTCTTACATGTTTTTTTTTTATATATATATATATATATATATATATATATACACCACAGACTCCCCCAAACTCTGCAATTTAATCTTCTCAGTAACTTTGATGCAGATATATATTTTTAATCTCTATTTTAAAGAAGAGGAGACTGAGGCTTAAAAGAGGATATACTAATCATCCAAAGTCATATAGTAGACATTGGATCCGTGATTTGAATGCAGATATACCCATAGCAGAAGCCCATGCTTTTTATCTTCATTTAAACTGCTTTTCAACCCCCCCATAAAACACATCTCCCTATTACATCTTTAAACTCTCCAAATGGAAAGTTTGAGCAAGTAGAAAAGTGTCACCACTTTTCTATTCTTTGCGGTTGGTTTTAAAGCACAAGTGACAGGGTACCAAATACCATTGCAGGTATCTAGCTCCCCTGGAAGTTCTGTGAGGTGGAGGATGGGAGGGTGGAACTCGACCAGTTTTGCCACAAAATGTTTTCTGAGAGTAATGGACGTGAGTAGACATTAGAAAGACAAGAGATAATTAACGATTAGATTTTGACAAAATTCATAAATGTATTTTTCCAGTCTTCTTTCAAAAATAAAATAACTATATAACCACATGATCCTTACTATATCACTGTTTATTTTTCCAGTTTACAAAACATTAAACTTTTTGAAAATTCAGCTTTTTTCCTTGCTAAGTAGAACTTTATGAATTTTTTTCCCTATGACTTGAGTCTATAAGGATAAAAATCATGAAATTCTTACTGTGTGAAAGACTTTTTTTTTTTTTTTTTAATCTTAGTAAGACTTTAGGACAGCTGAAATAAATTAACTTGAACATTCCAAGAAATCACCTTTTGGCTGAAACTACACAGAAAAAGTCTCACAGAAGAAAGACTTTAAAAGAGACGTATATGCAGTGGAAATAACTTCTCACTCTCAATATATTCCTTGCCTTTTTGATGATTATTGTGTTTATTTTAACAAATCTAAGAGGGCATCATTCAAATTTTGGAACAATGCTTACTTTTTTCAGTTATGAATATTTATCTGGTTAATGGTGGCATTTATTTATGAGTTGGACTATTGTGATTGATTTTTAACAGCTTATTGGTGAAAATTCTCCTACTTTAAAATTGTACTGTAAAATATCCTGCTGTCTGAATTTTTCAGTTCATCTTTCAAATGTTTTAAGAGAATAATAAAAAGTTATGATTATTTATAATTCTAACAACATTGCTTTTCAAACACTGGTGATAGGATTCGAAGCAATTAAGAGTATAAAATCCAAAGCCAAAATGCTTGGTTTGAATTCTGGTTCTGATAATGTGTCAGCTGTGTGATCTTTGACAAGTCATATAACCTCTTTGTGCCTCAGTTTCTTCTGCTTTCAAATGCTAATAATTAACAATACCTATCTCAGAAGGTGCTGTTAGGAATAATTATGTGTAAATAATTACATATATATATATATATATATATTATTTAGAGCAGGCATCTCACTTATCAAATGCTAAATATATGTACATATGTACATATGCGTATATATATGATTAGTCCAAATTTAAGCTTTCTCTTTCTTTTGTTAGCACTTATAGTATGTACTATACAATTAGTAATTTACTAAGTCTTAGTCTCTAGTTATTGATATCATACAAAATTTAGTGCCTTGATATGTTTCCATAGTATATACGGTGTTTTGGTTGTTTTTTTTCTTAATTGTATGTCTCTATCTTTAAAAATGGATTATATACCCCTGTGGTCAGAGTAAGGTTAGGCACATAGAGGGCTTCAGTATCTATTTATAGTTCCCAATAAGTATCTCTACCAGCCGTAAATTAATGTTTTTTTCATTTTTTATGCCTAATACAGATTTTTTTAATGTATCCTTTTTATTTGTTCAATTTCTAATTTTCTATCTCAGATACACTTGACAATGCTCACTCTAAGGGGGTAAAATATAAATAGATGAAATTCAAATTTCTTTATAAATGAATCATTGTTAAATTTATTTGTATATTGAAAAATTGAAAAAAATTCTTAATAAATACTATCCTGGAATAAAATAAATTAGGGCAGGATAGCCTTTCCTCTTCGCATGTTTTTAAAGCTTTGTCTTTTATTTTACAGGTATCATACAGACTTTTTGAAGACATGGGCCTCTTTGAAGCTTTTAAAATTCCAGTTAAGGAATTTATGAATTACTTTCATGCTTTGGAGATTGGATACAGGGAAATTCCTTGTAAGTATAAGTTTTTTGTGAGATAATACTTTAAATATCCATCGAATTAGCTATAGGTAATGGGATATTGAATCATTAGCAGGTAGCACAGAATTCCACATTGTAAACATGACATGTGGCCACATGGTATAGCAATCAGAAGATAACAGCCTATGTTAGAACCCTGGCCCCTTCACTTATCAGCTGTAGGTTAGCCTGGGTCTCACTTCACCTCTGCATGCCTCATTTGTTAATATGTAAAAAGGGGACTATAATATCTGCTTAATAGAATTAGTATGAGGATAAAAAGAGATAATTCTAAGTGGATTATAATAGTGCCTTTCATATACTAAGTGTAATTTAAGTGTGTGTTAAAGATATCATTAAAAGTTAAATTTATTGCTCATTTTATATTGTACTCCTTTTATTGAGTGAATTCAACTTTTGTTCTGGCATCTGATGAGTTAAATCACCAACTATTGATTGAAGTTTCACTATAATATAAACCTGCCTGGGGGTAGAGGGACAGAAAGATGATGGTCTGAGTAATACACAGAAAAGAAGAGACATCTGGAAGTAGTTGTGGAGGAATTATTAGAAACATTTTAAAAATCAGATAAAGGCGAAGTCCAAAGGAAAAGACACAACCAATATTCAAGCTTATGAACATTGACTATTGTGAGAATAAGTTCATCATCTATAATCATGAGAAATTGGAACACAGCGATGTTAAATTATATTTTTGATATGTAGCCTTTCAGGTAGCATCAGACACATAAATAGAATTGTCCTACATGCTGCATAATATATGGAACTGGAAAAAAGGTCCATAAATCCAGTCGGTGAAATTGTGGAAATGTGTAGGAATGATGTGGTACTTTAGAAAATAAATGCCTAGAAAGAAAAATACTCAAAAATAATATGTTGGTTGGAACATGCCTTAGAAATATGTTGTTTAAAAACATGTTTTAACTTTTAAGTTTTAAATTTGTTTTTCTGTACCTTAAACTTTAGAATCCCATTACTTTTTGTAGTTACAAAGAGCCTAAGTTAAATAAAAATTATATGGAGACAAAGCACAGGTATTTCGCACAAAGGGGAGTACTTCAACCTAATGATTTATTGTTAACATACTGTTTTTCAAAATGCCATACACATGGTCCATTGGAATGAAAATACACAGCTGATGGTGTATGATAGGGAAAGTGAATGTAGAATAGAATCTATAAATTAGGTTTGTTGAAGACTGTAGGACCAAAATGCAGGCAAAAGAGGAAAGTGGGAGTAGGAGAGAAGAGCTTAAGAATACAGGGCCCCTTGGCAAAGTCTGGCCAATGGGGCCGTGGAAGTTGGAAGAGAAATATGAAAAAGGGGTAGGGTAGCTTGAAAAGATCTCAAGATAAGCCTTGGTTTCTTTTGTTTGTTTGTTTTTAATTGGGAAATTGGGGGAGGGGAATAGTGTTGGGGAATTGGGGAGGGGGACCAGTCAAGTTGCTGTTCTACAATCTTAGTTGTGGAGGGCACCAGTCGCTATCTGGCTGCCCGACGGCAGCTCATGGCCTCTAAGCTCAAGGTGCTGTGTTATAATCTTAGTTGCAAGTGGGCATAGCCACCATTCCATGCAGGAGTCAAACCAGCAGCCTTGTTGTTATGAACACGCACTCTATATCCACTGAGCCATCCGGGTGGCAGCTCAGCTCAAGGTGCTGAGTTCAGTCTTAGTTGCTAGTGGGCATAGCTACCATCCCATGCAGGAGTTGAACCAGCAAACTTGTTGTTAAGAGCACGTGCTCTCACCAGCTCAGCCATCCTGCCACCTGTTGGCAGCTCAGTGGCTGCTCAGCTCAAACGTAGCATCACTGGCCCATGTGGGAATCAAACCAGAGGCCCTGTTGCTCAGAGCTCATGCTCTTAAGCTAACTCTTAACCAACTGAGCCACTTGGCTGGCCCAAGCCTTGCTTTCTTAATAACATTTTCCCAAGAGCCACCCTGGTTGGATGTCAGTGATTGACATGGTTTAGTGATTCCTCAAAGGTTGAGTAGTTACATAAATGAACTTTTATAGAAAGGAAGCCACTTAAAACGCTAAAGGAAAACTAGTTACCAGATGAAATTTACAAATTAATTTCATATTTTCAAATATAATCAGCTATAGACAAGTTCTATTGAGTAACATATAAGAATTACTAAGTTTTCTCTAGTATATCATTAAATCATAAAGAAAGCTGACCAGTATTTAAGTATAAAAAGAAGTTTCCAGATTCTAAATTTTATTATTAATTTTTACATTTTCTTATTACATTTTTATATGTTACAAATGATAAGATGTTTTTCCTGAAATAGTGGTTTCTTCATGCCATGTGAAAATAATTTGTTATAATAAACCTGCTTGTTCTATTAGAAATCCCAGGCACTTAATATAAAGAGAATTTATTTACGTTTCCTCACAAGAAAGTTTAGCTTGATTGGTGATCTTTTTTAAATAATACATGTGGTAGGGCTGTAAATTAATACTAATGTGGATAATTATTAAAAGCTTTGTTCATTATTCATTAATATTAGCATACATAAAAATTTGTTGTATATCTACTTATTTGAATATTTACTCCTAGAGAGTTTACATTTGTAATGTCTCTAGCTAAGTAAACCTATACCTAAATGAAAAAAAGCCTAAGAGTAATCAAATTGGGTTTGATTAACTTTAGTAGGTCAATGACCTAAAATTTTAGAAGTTTAATTCTACTGAACTTCTAAGTACACTTTTAAAAATTTCCAAGAGAAGAGGGAGAATATGAAAGCTTTTAAATTTGTACCCAGAACTCTTACTAAAATTTGAAGAATCTAGGTTTTAAAATAGACATAGGTAGGTAGGTAGATAGAAGATGATAGATAGATAGATAGATAGATAGATAGATAGATAGATAGATAG